AAATGCCATGACATCGGCTCAGTATGGGGGTTGAACGCTCTAAGTGATGAGCTCCTGATTGTGCGAAATATTAGAGGAGAGACCTGTGAAGTTAATAGCGACCTTAAACAAACCACGACGGCGACGGCAACGAGGACGTGGCAAAACAAAAGATCTTATGGGCAGAACAATTGCTAAGCGCGTGCGTTTTAAAACTTTGTACATTTCACTGCCGTCCTCTGCAAAACAACAACGTGAAATCACCAAACTTGGCTTCGTCTGCAAATGGAAACCGCGACAGCGAATTATTTATTTCCATTTGGAACTCAAAGATGCTTATATTCGTTATACTGAACTTGAGGTTTGGCGCCGTAAGAGACGATAAACACATGCAGCCATTTTCAAAATTCTAACGTAAAATATATTCTCATTTTTTAATCGACGTCCTCCTTGGCGTCGCTGTCCTGACGGCTTAAGGTCCCTAATGACAAAAGGGACAGATTGACGGCTTAAGGTCCCTAATGACAAAAGGGACAGATTGACGGCTTAAGGTCCCTAATGACAAAAGGGACAGATTGACGGCTTAAGGTCCCTAATGACAAAAGGGACAGATTGACGGCTTAAGGTCCCTAATGACAAAAGGGACAGATTGACGGCTTAAGGTCCCTAATGACAAAAGGGACAGATTGACGGCTTAAGGTCCCTAATGACAAAAGGGACAGATTGACGGCTTAAGGTCCCTAATGACAAAAGGGACAGATTGACGGCTTAAGGTCCCTAATGACAAAAGGGACAGATTGACGGCTTAAGGTCCCTAATGACAAAAGGGACAGATTGACGGAGGTTCAGCAGAGTTAGGGATACTGAGTCGAGGACTTTCCAAGGTCCCTAATGACAAAAGGGACAGATTGACGGCTTAAGGTCCCTAATGACAAAAGGGACAGATTGACGGCTTAAGGTCCCTAATGACAAAAGGGACGGATTGACGGGCTATTTAGCGTCTGCTTTCGTCCGACACTAACCGGAAGGGTTTGGATAAAATTTTAAAAAGTGATTTCTCGATTTTTTTTCCACGGTAGTTCGCCGTAAACTTCATTCTAACATCTTTAAAATTTGCTTATGCTTCACTCAGTAAAGAGATTCTCCAAGTGTCATTATTTAATTGGGCGAATTTTTTCCTTTGCAGCTACGGTGACATGTCACCGGAGACGGCAATTGGTCAGATCATGGGAAGCGTGTGTTGTCTAGTGGGTACTTTGGTGATTGCGTTACCTGTGCCAATCTTGGAGATGAAAATGAAACTGGTACAAAAGAAACCTGCAGATGAAGAAAACAACGAAGAACAAAATAGTGGACAAGACCGAGAGGCGTAACTGAGTCCATGGTTGCTTACCATCCCAAAAGTGCGATCTTATTTTCGCACTCGTTTTTACCCTCTGTCGAAAAAACTCTGGCTTGGAATCGTCTTCGTATGCAGATGTTCCGCAATATTGCCACTCGTGCTGTTGAGACGGGGAGTGGGAGAGGGGCAGAGGGAGACGCGGGTAAACCGAGACGTGTTACATGTGGATTAGAGTTTGCTGGAGAACCGTTTGACGATATATGAAAATTATGAAAACAGAGATAGATAGTAAAAGTTATTTTCTTTAATAACCCGACTCGATAAACTGGCTGCACCATGTAACTCATTTATTCTGTGCTAGTTTGTAACGCTTTTATACTCAAAAACTATTAATGGAAGTGGAGGTAGCTAGTGGTGGATGTTAAGCGAGCCATGAATCGGCCAGATAAATATTGAACCATAACACCGCACATTCATAATGATAGAGATCGACATTTATAAAAGATAGTTATGGCAGAGAGGAACATGTACTACTGACGTGTTTGTGTATGTGCGTGTTTGTGTTTGTGTATGTTTGTGTATGTGCACTTTTGTCTAGAAGCTTTCAATTTTCTGTCATTCTTAAATGTAAGATCCTCGATGCAAGCCAGTGCGATCGTTTCTTACCAAATGAAATTTGGCAGCTCACACTGACGTATATCACCATGGACAACAATAGCTATAGAGGAGTGTTTATATTGTTACTGTACCAATCCATATATGTTATTCACCAGTTGGGAGGTCCGTATTGGGAAAATTGTGCTCGAGGTCTTGGATACCGCCCTCGGATTACGGCCGAGGACTATACTCAGGACAGAGGGCTCAGTTTTTCCCAAGACGAATCGGCCTAGGCTGGTGAATAGAATTTTCATTTTTTTCTTTCTAAAAATTAACGAAAGGCCTTCCAAAAGAACCGTAATGATTTAGAGCTGTAGTTACGGGCCCGAAGATCCTCCATGAACAAAATGACTTTTGAGCTAACAGATGGTGGAGAAATCAGAGGTAATGCTAATTGAATATAAAGGCTTCACCATGATATTTATATATACTTACTGCTAAGGGTGACTTAAGGCTTCCAACCAATCTTTGAAACATTTTGTTTTTGTATAAATATCTGTCATGATCTAACGCTTGTCAATTAGAAAGCGCGTGAGAAAGAAAAATGTGTAAATCTTGCCCTTCCTCCACCGAAAAGCTGAACTCAAATGAGACGCTTTTTCTAGCGGGACACAGGGAGATCTAATGCAACTTTTAGTCGTCGAATTACTTGTACAAATGTACAAATTTATTTATGACATAACTTAGACACAACCTGCGCTCTGATTGGTCATGAGTCTATTTTATATTTGCCTGTATTCCTATAGAAAACTAAAACATCTTTCCGTCCTGTGAACTGGTGCGACACGGAGAGAATTCCCAGATTTTAATTTGATAAAGGCCTTTGGTTTAGAAGAACCTAAGAGTACACTTTGAATGCCAATAAAACGACAAAGATTTTATCTTCCTAACTTTATTGAGCTTTTTAGTAAAATTCGGTCTAACTAGATCGTAAAAGTTAAATTATCAAATCGAAAAGTTTGTAAACCACTCGGCTGCGTCTCGGGGTTCTTGTGTTCTCCCAACATCCCCCGTAGTTTTTTCAGCCGGTAAATCGATAGAAAGTGTGATTCATTGCTTGAGTGACTAGCGAAGAATTAGCGAGATTTTATTCATAGCAGAGCTCAAAATTTCGTTCAAAGTCTTACAACGAACAAATTGTTTAGGAGGATTTAGATATTTTAAAAATAATAAAAGTTACGTTTCTGCGCGGTCGTCCGATTTTGTTATCACTCGCACGATTACAGTCCCAATTGAACTCCACTCAGCCCTATCACCCGGCATTGCAAATCACGTCGATCTATTTATTTAAGTACAGCTGGTATCAGTTATCACATGATTTCGAATGCAATTTGGGATAAATCAGCACATGTCAAGTTTTCAAATGCTAACCAAATTGCAAAAGCCCYWRGGKKRWTSSMARKTKG